ACCACTTTACGCCTATGGGCATGTCCAGCGTGTCATCAATTCTAGGCAAGGGATAGCTGTCCTTCTTCGTAACGTCGTTCAGGCGGCGGTAGTCAACACAAAACCGCATGCTGCCGTCCTTCTTCTTTACCAGCACCACAGGTGAACACCATGGACTAGATGAAGGTTCAATAACACCATCCTTCACCATTCCCTCAATCATGGTTTCCACTTCCTTTTCACGTGCTACAGGCAATCTTCTTGGCCGCTGACGAATAGGCAATTCTTGTCCTGTGTTTATTTTGTGTTGAACTAAGCCAGTCTTTCCTATGTCAGCTTCGTTTGACGAGAAAACATTGGCGTACTTGAGTAACAACTTCTTCGCCTTGACCATTTCATTCGGGGAGAGAACGCTGCGACAGTCTTCTAAAAGTGTGGTCACTCTCGTTTGTCCATCCTTGCTAGGGGTCCCGGTCGATAGATATTCGCACCGACGCAACCAATCCACTTCCTCACTAGTACCAACCAATGTGCCTTTTTCTATAATCTGTTCCTGATCACAAAGGTTCAACACACGTACTCCTGAGATGTCGGTGGTTCTGACCAAGGTTCGAGCCACTTTCCATGGAAGGTCATTGTCTACCCTTTCCACGAGTACACAACGATGAGCTTGCCCAGGACTCCGAGGAAGACTAACCGGCACAATCGTTTCCGATCTCGGCGGAAGAACAATCTTCTTAAGGCTGTACACATTCCCTGGTAACGCCCCTTCCATGAAAAGTTCTTCTTGTCCACATTTCAAAACACCTTGCTTAACGTCGATCTCACAACAATTCTTCCTCATAAAGTCTAGGCCCAGGATGCAGTCGTCCATTATATCAGCCACGATGACATTATGCAGGTAGATCATGTTGCCTAGCTTCAACTCCATCTCCTTCTCTCCACGGACGGGTATGCGCTGACCAGTGGCTGTCACCAAATTAATGCGTTCTCGGTTGTATGCGGAGTCACCAAGGAACCGACTTATAAGTTGGGAACTGACAACCGTGCGAGAGGCTCCAGTGTCTATGGTCAGTTTACATGGCGTTCCGTTGACTTCGCCCTTGATGATTAGGCTGTTCCCATCATGAGTTTGTGAGATCGAAATCCTTGGGGCTCTTTTAACATCAGCCAGCACCCGCCAGTTTCCCTGCTGCTGCTGGGCGGTGCTATTATCCGCACTACCCTCTCGAGATCGATCACCTTCCCTTTTTACAGTTCGCTTAGGGCAGCTGGATCGAAGATGGCCCCTTTCTCCACAGCCGTAGCACCTAGGGCTGTAGCTTTTATTGCGGTCCTGAACTTTAGCTGCTGCAACCTCCCTGACGCGGTGGGAACGATGATCCTGCCGCACGGCTTCCACCTCCAGTGCATGGGTCAAGGCGTCCTTAAGCGTCTCGTGGTGCCCGAGCCTCACAGCAGCTCTGACTTCAAGGTCGCGGATGCCGTCGATGAATGTCTGCACCAGGTTCCCTACAATAAGCGCAGGTACAGACTGGTACGCTTTTCGAACCAGCTTCTCCACCTCAAGGGCCCACTGCTGCAGGTTTTCGTTACTGCGTTGCACGCGATCTTTGAGCTGCGCACGAAAGACGTGTTCCAGGTGAGCGTCGCCATATCTCGCCTCCAATGCCTCAAGGAGCTGCTCGTAAGTCACTTCTTTACCGAGAGCTTCCAGAACAGTTAATGCCTGGTCGCGCAGGCCTAGGGTGAGAGCAGTCATGGCCTGACTTTTATTCCAGCCGTTCGCTTTCATGACAGCCTCGAACTGGATTTTATAGGCCGACCAGGAAGAAGTCCCGTCGAACGGTGGCACTTTGAATCCACGTAGCGAAGGTGTTGTAGCTACCACGGGAGCTGTAACTCCATCCCCAAGTTTGAGGTCGTCCAGCGTTTTCTTCACATCAGCCATCACGTTGTCAACCCGATTGTTCACTTGGTCGATTCGGGTTTCAGCTTCCGACAGGCGGTTGTCATGTTGAGCAACCCTATCCTTCACCTCCTTTATCTCTTTCCCGAAGGTAGCATGAAGGTCCTTCCTGAGGAGCATCTGTTCTTCCATACCGCGCTGCAGCTGCTCTTCCAGCCGACGGGTCTGTTCCTCCTGTCGGCGGGCCTGTTCCTCCTGTCGGCGGGCCTGTTCCTCCTGTCGGCGGGCCTGTTCCTCCTGTCGGCGGGCCTGTCCCTCCTGTCGGCGAGCCTGATCCTGCAGCATCATCATCAGAGCACCTAAGTCAGGTGCTGCAGATGCAGGAGCTGCTGACGGGCCAGCCTCCGTGGTTAGCAACTGGCCCTCCGACGTTTGCGGCGTTGCATTACCAAATCGTCTCTGGTCCGTCTCCTGTTGGCGTTGACTTCGGGTACGGATACCCTCCGTGTCGTCTTTAGGTAAAATCGGCATATTTGATCCCATAATTATTATTATTATTATTATTAGTGTTCAGAAACATTTTTATTAATTTAATTTATAGTTTCAAAATAAATAAATAAACAAAACAGGGAAGTGATTAATGTGTGGACAATTAATATTAACGTTTCGTTTATGGTTATGCATAATTTATATATGAACTTTAATATTTATATATGTATATATATATATATATATATATATATATATATATATATTTGATAATTATATAAGTATATATACACATATATATGTGTGTGCTCGTCTTGTATATATGTATATTAAATATATGTATAGTATAGATGTTTAGTATTAAATATAACACATAGAATACTTTATTATATTACAACTTTTATCATTTTTTGATTTAATTTTGTAAATTTGTTAAATTTGTAAAGTTGTTTTACTTTTCTTTTGTTTCAACAATGAAAACATGCATAGTTCTTTTAGTATTACCCGTTCTTTTAGTACAACTCTGGGAGAGGCCGCTGACTCCTAAGATACAGACTCGTCTAGTTTAGGAGTCAGAGACTTCATAAAATTTCTTGTGATTTATTTTTGACAATAAAAGAATTATTATTATTATTATTATTATTATTATTACTTCTGACACCAATTGTTACGAGCTTGGGGTTCGAGACAATTAAAAACTGCCGATTGAATTACCAAAATTGACACTTTAATTACACAACACTAATTACAATCTAAAATCACACTAATAATAAAACACAGTTCGCCGTTATTTCGCTACGAAGTATTCTCTTGTATCGCCAATTCAATACTGCCCCGGTCGTGGTCTATACCGGCCTTATATAGGGCCTCAGATAGTTTCCAGAACCTTCTACTGTAGCGACATCTAGAATGTTCGAGTACATATCGGTCCCGAAATTTCTGGAAGGATCTCGACTCTCCTAGTTCTGCTACTCGACACTAGGGGGCGCTAGTGTAACTAGTGTTGCCATGTACAAGACATTAATAGTGGCGCGTAACAGTATAAATGAATACATGGTTGATAATAAACCCTGGGAATGAGGTGAGCGCTTCTAAGCTGTTTCTAAAATAAATTTTGTACTTATATATTTTGTACAACCATTATTGTAAAATTTGCTTTAAAAAAAATGTCCCGCTGGGTTTCTTGCTGGTTCTTCCCAGGACAGAGGTTTTTTTTTTCGAACCAGTGGTAAAGTAAAAAATGACTCAATAAGAATTACACATGTGCTCTATATTGAATAAAAAATTATTCTATTCTATTCTATTCTAGAATGCTTTGAGCTCACCATACAAAATACAGCAGCATTTAGCTGCTAATTTACACTGGAAATTTGTGAAAGTGTAGTCCTCCTCTGGTCAAGTTGACCAATTCTTGCTGCAATTATATTATTGCTGTGTTGTGGCTCTACTATGAGTAAAATATCATGTTCTTTCTAGTAATGTCCCATCGCCAAGTTTTTGTTTAATTTAGTTTACACTTCCTTTGTGAAATTAATTTGATTTCATATTGTTATCCTTAATAACATTTTTTTAAGGGATTGGCACACACTTTTTCCGATACCAATATGGTAATTGAATTTTAAAGAAGGTAAAGTCTTATCTGCCGACTTCCAAAAAGGAGCCGGTACTCAATTCGACTGTATGTTTTTTTTTTTTCGTTTTTTTTTTATGTGTGTTACCTCAGAACTTTTTTCTGGGTGAACCGATTTCGATGATTCTTTTTTTATTTGAAAGCTGGTACTTCTCGTGTGGTCCCATATGAATTTGATCAAGGTCAGACCAATAGTTTTTAAGTTATTCTTAAATAACTTATATTGAAGTCGGCTGTACAAAATTTTTAATTTTAAATTATTTTACAAATCAAGTAAGCCATATATTTAATCAATTTAATATATGTGGTTGTAACAGTCAAAAAATTTTGACTGCTATCTGTTATATTAATTTTCAATAGTTTCGTAACTAAAATTAACATGTATTTCAAATAAAATGGTATTCTTAAGTTTGTGAAAAAGGCGATTTTGCAAGTTGATATAGATGAGAGCCGTGGCAGCCCAGGGCTTTAGCACTCGCTGTAAATTTCATAGTATGCAAGCAATCCTTGTTCGGTGCCCACTGGCACCAATGAAATTACTAATTGCAATTTTAAGTGCTTATTTACCACATGCTCGGCGGCAAAGAAGAACATAGTGAGGAAACCTATATGACTGAGAAATAAAACAAATATTTCAAAGACATATGAAATCCGCCAACATGCATTGGGTCAGTGCGGCGGACACTTCCTTACCCTAAAACCCTCTCAGAAATGAGAGAGGGCCTGTGCCCAGCGGTAGTGGGATAGATATAGGCTATAACTTTTCTTTACTTTATGAGGTGGAGTCCTAGAGACTTTTCCAACACATAATAGGTGACTGCACTCAGATGAGAATGTACTTATGAGTGTTTTTAGCCCATTTGAAAGTAGTAGCCTTCCGAAGTAGTAAAGTTACAGTGGTCCAAAACAAGATCACAACATCCTATCCATGTGTAATACATAATATGTATAAAATTTGCATTAAATATTTCAGAAGTCTTTCTTTGTGTCACAATGGAGTGGTTATTTGGACACCGCATGACGCCCGAGGAAATGCTGCGTAAGAACCAACGAGCTCTGAATAAAGCCATGCGAGATCTGGACAGAGAGCGCCTAAAGATGGAGCAGCAGGAAAAGAAGATCATTGCAGATATTAAGAAGCTAGCCAAAGATGGACAAATGGTAAGGAAATAATGGTGTCATAAAATAAAAATTGAAATCCTGACTTAAATATATTGATTTTAAATATTGTAGCCTAAGTTGTCCTCTTGTACATTAAAAGTTATTATAACTGTAAACACCATAAGCTTTTACCTTAATTGGAATAATGCGCTGTTATCACAAATGCTTGTTGAGAACATTAGAATATATTGTGATTCCTCTATGCTGTTCAAATTCAAGATTACATATTGAAAGTAATTTTGTGCTTTTACCAGGTTTAGAAAAAAAACCTCTGTCCTGGGAAGAACGAGCAAAAAATCCAGTGGAAGTTTTTTAAAAATGTTAATCAATAATATTTTATGTTATACAATTACAATTTAAAATGTAATATTGAGTATATAAACTTAGTAATTTTTTTTATAACTTGTGGGTTTTGCACCAATATTAATGGATCACAAATAGATAAAACTAATAGGCCATAGAAATTCCTAACATTCATCAAAGTAATCTCACAATAGGATGCAGTTAAAATAATGGCGAAGGACCTGGTTCGCACGCGGCGTTACGTACGCAAGTTCATGCTGATGAAGGCCAATATCCAGGCTGTGTCACTCAAGATCCAGACCCTTAAGTCGCAGAGCACCATGGCGCAGGCAATGCGAGGAGTCACGCGCGCCATGTCCTCCATGAACCGGCAGCTTAACATGCCGCAGATACAGAAGATTCTGCAGGTGAGAGTCATGACTCTTTGAGGTACATTTAGACAGGAATTTGTTACGTAGTTTGTGGTGATTGTAAGGTTGTCATCTTGCACATCACATCCATGCCGTAACAGATTTTAGATGTAATTGTATCTTTAGATGTTGTTATATTTTATAATTGCACTTTATTACTTTTGTAAATATAAACATTTCATTTCATAAACAAAATCAAAACAAATATAAATTAAAACAAAATCAAAACAATAATTTAATACGTGGTAGAGCCATGCTGCAGCTATATTAGTAGTATAGTTGTAGCACGAATGGGTCGGCTCGACCGGGGAAGGACCACGCTCTCACAGAATACCAGCGTAAAATAGCAGCTTAACACTGCTGTGTTTCGTATGGTGAGTGTAGAGAACCGGAGATCCTTTTTACTGGAAAAGAGGCATTCCATCTTAGTCCTCACGGGTGACAACGCATCGGCATTTTGATTTGCAAACGAGGATAAATGTAGATGTCTATGGGCCACAGCAACCACTTACCATCAGGTGGACTGTGTGCTCGTTTGTCACCCGATGCTATAAAAAAAAACATGACAACCCTATGCATACATACATGAGTTATTTTAAGTCACTCCAGAAAGAAATACAGGTACGAAGTGAGTTGAGTGGATTTTAGTTGCTGGCACCACTATTTCTTCTAACCGTGCTGATTTATCACATTCCCGAGGGTTAATGAAAACATAATGCCGTGTAGTGGCGGTCAAGAATATCCACTACCCCATATCCTCCCGTGGGTGTCGTAAAAGGCGACAAAGGGAAACAGGCAGGAGATGGGCAGCAGCATCTTCTTGATAACAACCAACTAACAATAAAAATAAAAAAAACTGCGGTTGCCAACCCGCTCGCCAAGCGTGGCAACTATGGCAAATATGAATGACAGTAACACAGAAACGGCCCCCAGTCCCCGGCGGCCCCGCTATTCCTGGCTACGGTGGCGACCATGGTAACGGCGGGGCAGGGGGTGCTAAGAATCTCCGGTGGAGGTTCGGTTGCCACCTTAGACGACTTGACCTCGCAACGTACAACGCACGCACCCTGAGGACTGACGAGAAGATCGTGGAGCTGGAAGAAGAGATAGACAAGTTGCGCTGGCATATTATAGGATTATCCGAAGTCCGAAGAGAGGGGGAGGACACGGTAATCCTCAAATCCGGCAACTTGCTCTATCACCGGGAGGGCGACCATCTGTCCCAAGGAGGTGTCGGATTTATCGTCCACAAGTCTCTCGTTAACAACGTTGTAAAGTTCGGGAGTGTGTCGACGAGGGTTGCGTACCTTATACTCATAATCACCAAACGGTATTCGCTGAAGGTCATACAGGTTTACGCACCAACCTCGGCACACCCCGATGAGGAGGTGGAGGAAATGTATGAGGATATCTCTAGAGCCATGCATTCCTCCAAAACCCAATATACGGTGTTAATGGGAGACTTAAATGCAAAACTAGGCACAAGAGAGAACGGTGAGCTGAAAGTAGGGAAATTTGGAATAGGGCAACGGAACCCAAGGGGCCAGCAGTTGGCCGACTTCATGGAGAAAGAGGGACTCTTTATGATGAACTCTTTCTTCTGAAAGCGGGTGGAAAACTGGTACTTGAAGTCCTTCAGAGGCTCTTTAATTCCGTCCTCCATGGTGGCATTACACCGGAGGCGTGGAGCAGAAGTGCGGTGGTCTTGTTCTTCAAGAAAGGTAACAACGCTCTCTTGAAAAACTACAGACCGATTTCCCTTCTGAGCCGCGTCTACGTGCTGTTTTCGAGAGTCATTACGAATCGTCTCGCGCGCAGACTTGACGACTTCCAGCCTCCCGAACAAGCCGGTTTCCGAAAGGGCTTTAGCACCATAGATCACATATATACCCTTCGGCAAGTTGTACAGAAGTCCGAGGAGTACAATTTGCCACTATGCCTGGCGTATGTGGACTATGAGAAAGCCTTTGATTCCGTCGAAATTTGGGCGGTGCTGCAGTCCCTTCAGCGGTGCCAAGTTGACTGTTGGTATATCGAAGTGCTGAAGTGCTTGAAAAGTAGGGCTACGATGGCTATCCGAGTACAGAACCAGAGTACGAAACCTATCCAATTGCAGAGAGGTGTAAGACAGGGTGACGTTATATCCCCGAAACTCTTCACCGCTGCATTGGATGACGTTTTCAAGCTTCTGGACTGGAAAAGATACGGTATTAACATCAATGGCGAGTACATCACTCACCTTCGATTTGCCGACGATATAGTCCTTATGGCAGAAACGCTGGAGGATCTAAACACCATGCTCAATGACCTCAATAGTGTCCCAACGGATAGGTCTTAAGATGAACATGGACAAAACAAAGATCATGTTCAATGTCCATGTCACACCTATGCCGGTAGTTGTTGGGAGCACTAAGCTCGAAGTTGTTGACGAGTATGTTTACTTGGGACAAATAGTCCGACTAGGTAAGTCCAACTTCGACCGAGAGGTCAATCGACGGTTTCAACTCGGCTGGGCAGCGTTCGGGAAACTACGACACATCTTCTCGTCAGAAATTCCTCAAAACCTTAAAACGAAATTGTACAACCAGTGCGTGTGCCAGTGATGACTTACGGATCTGAGACGTGGTCGTTCACTGCTGGCAGTATGAGGAAGCTTAAGGTCGCTCAGCGAGCTATGGAGAGGGCTATGCTCGAAGTTTCTCTGCGTGATAAACTTAGAAATGAGGATATCCGCAGTAGAACCAGAGTGACCGACATAGCCCAACGGATTAGTAAGCTGAAGTGGCAGTGGGCCGGCCATATAGCTCGAAGAACCGACAACCGATGGGGAAGAAAGGTTCTTGAGTAGCAGCCTCGTACCGGTAGGCGAAGTGTAGGGCGACCCCCCATGAGATGGAGTGACGACCTGGTAAGACATGCAGGAAGTCGATGGATGCAAGTGGCTCAGGACCGTGCTTTGTGGCATTCCTTGGGGGAGGCCTATGTTCAGTAGTGGACTTATGAGGGGCTGTAATGATGGTGATCATTTAAAGTCTGGAATCCCTACTTTATTAAGGACATTGAAGCTTTAGCATAGGAAAAAGTACAGCGTAGCTTCACTAAAGTACCACGGCTATTGAAATAGCAGTCTTATGAAGAATGTTTGAAAGTTTTAAAACTTACAACATTAAAAAGCTGCAGGGACCGAGGAGATCTAATCGAGATCTTTAAGATCTTAAATTAGCGTTACGACATTGAGGAGTTTGACAAATTGTTTATTCGTAATGAAAACACTCACCTCAGGGGCCACCACCTTAAGCTATGTATCAGCTTTTCAAACAACAACCTTCACAAGCACTTCATTTGTACCAAAAACTTGGTAAAAATGAAGTGCTCGTGAGTTAACTTTGTTAACCAGTTTGAGTTCAATCTGGTTCTGCCTCTCTCTGAACCCTCTCAGTACTTTACTGGAGAGTTCCGCGAGGGGATTTCAGCTTCGGATAGGGGGTACAAAAGTGACCCACCTTTTCTATATGGATGATCTCAAGTTATTCGCCTCCAGTCGCTCCCATCTTATGGAATTGCTAAACATCACTTGTGATTTTAGCAATCCTATTAGAATGGAGCTGGGGACAGATAATTGTGCGGTCCTCCATGTCGAAAGGGGTAGGGTTGCTAACTCTGAGAGCATAGACTTATCTATTATGCCCATCAACTTAAAGACCCTATCCGAGGCTGAAACATACCTATACCTGGGTATGTCACAGAACATAGGTATCGATGAGGTGGACATGAAACAGTCAGTTTGCAATGTGTTTTATGCACGCTTGACAAAATTGCTTAACAGTCTTTTGTCGGGCGTTAATAAGATACACGCATATAACGGTTGGATCATGCCTATTCTCATGTATATCTTTGGCATACTCAGGTAGACTCAGACCGAACTGAATGCTCTGCATAGACAAGTCCTCACTATTATGAAGTCCCACAGGATGCATCATCCGAGATCGTCAGTAATGAGGCTGTACTTGCTGCGGAAACATGGTGGGCGAGGCTTTTTAAGCGCTCTCATCATGTATAATTGCGAAGTCTGCAGCCTCCGTACTTACTTCCTGACAAAATCGGATGATCCATTCCACGGAGCGTCATTTCGTGTGATAAAGGGCTAACCCCTCTATCATTAGCCAACGAGCAATTGCAAGACCCAGCAGTACAGTGCATTTCCGACCGGGAGACCGTATGGAAAGAGAAAGAGCTCCACGGGAGGTTCTACAAGGCTCTTCATGAGCCTTTCGTAGACACAGTTGCCTCCCTTACACTGGCTAGGTTTTGGTGACCTCTTCGGGGAAACCGAGGGTTTTATCTGTGCAATACAGGATCAGGTTACATGACCAACGACTATCGGAGATACATCCTAAGGGATGGCACCGTCGACATCTGTCGAGCTTGTCGCCATCCCGGTGAGTTACTTAGGCATGTCATCTCCGGTTATTAACTCTGAGTACTTCCACAGGCACAACCTAGTAGCCAGGATTCTACACCAGGAGCTCGCTCTGAAATACGGTCTCGTGGCTCGAAAACCGCCTTTTTTATAGGATAAGGGTGACAAACGAGCACACAGTCCACCTGATGGTAAGTGGTTGTTGCGGCCCATAGACATCTACATCTATCCTCTATTACAAATCAAAATGTAGATGCGTTGTCACCCGTGAGGACTAAGATGGAATGCCTCATTTCCAGTAAAGAGGGCCTCCGGCCACCTGCACTCACCAAGCGAAACGCAGAGGTAAACCTCTACTTCACGCTGGTATTCTGTGAGGTCGTGGTACCACCCCGGTTCGAGCCGGCCCATCCGTGCGACAGTAAAAGCTGCCGCGTGGCTCTACCACTGTTGAAAAATAAGGCAGTGTATATAATAAGCACTTGCCGGAAGCCGTGCTCGAAAATGACCGCGCTAGGCTCTACTGGGACCGGACAATCATCACAGATGGGACTATTCTTGCGAATAAGCCTAATATTGTGCTGATGGACCGGGCACAGTCAAGGATGGTTTTGGTCGAATTACCATTCTTTATGACGGGAAGCTCGTGAAAGCCGAAATAGATAAGCAGACAAAATATCTGGACCAGGCTCACGAGGTGATCGACATGTGGGGTGGTCTGCCGACCGAAATAATTCCTGTGGTCGTTTATGCGAACGGGCTAATCCCAGTCAGCCTCTCAGGTCATCAGATGCAGAAGGCGGTGCTCCTCGATACCGCACGCATCGCTCGCCGGTTTCTTTCCCTTTCTGCTCGACCGTTTGGTCTCCCCTACCGAGGGCTTCCATCTGGTTAGATTATTTTATTTAAAATGACGCTTCATTTTAATAGAGGCTAGTAATTCATTTATTATATAATCAATAATATAATACCTACGTTTATCAATAATAATATACTACGCAAGGAACTTCGTTCCAACCGAATGTTCCACGACACTCACGCATTTTTATTTATTTATTTATGTACTTTTATGTATTTTTTATTTTATTGATATTTATGTATATTTATCATTTTCATTTACATTTATATATTTAAACAGGCCAACCAGATGAGAAAACTAAATAGATACTCCACATAATAATAATTTTACCTCTTGTCAGTGGATATAATCGGGGGATAAATTTTTTGTTCCCAGTCCATGCTAGCCCTGCAGGGAACTTTAGATATGCTAGATCCAGGCAAAGTAGCGAACTCAATGCAAAGCAATGGGAGAGTCTTTATTACTAAAGGATTGAGAGATGCCCTAAAAGACGAATAGTCACTATTTATATTTTGTAATGGTTACAGGAGTTTGAAAAACAATCTGAGATTATGGACATGAAGGAGGAGATGATGAATGACTCCATCGACGAGGCCATGGAGGGCGACGACGACGAGGAGGAGAGGTGAGCTGTGTGCATGTGCAAATAAAATAAATTTATTGTTAACTCTTCCTTTACACTAAATGACCTACAATATTTTGAAGGGCAGTTGGGAGTTATTGAATTCTAATGTGTGTCTTGATGTAAAATGACGGTAGGCTTATCGGAGACTTAAAAAGAATTGGAGATTACTAAATTGTGTCAGTTTATATAAAACATCAGCATATGGCCTATGTTCAGCAGTGGACCTGTGAAGGGCTGTAAGATGATGATGATGATATGTATATGCAATAAGCTGCAGACCCATCCATTCGCTAGTTTTATAGACATTACAATTGGTCACTTGCGTTTAGTAATAGTTAGTAACTTCACACAATACATTGCGTCGCATTGAGCATATGAGCTGTGGTGGCTCTTGTAGAAAACCTACATAGTATACAACACAATGTACTAAGAAGTGACTACCATTTTGATGTCAACTAAGTTCGACTATAATAGAATTGGCTGCTATTTGCACTTACCAAGTGCTATTTATTAATTGGGCTCATTTTGTGAAATTCAGTAGTCAGTAGAGTGCATTTGTGCGCGCGTGTGTGTGTGTGCGTGTGTGTGTGCGTGTGTGTGTGTGTGTGTGTGTGTATATGTCGCAAAAGTTTATATTGGGACAATATTAGCCAAGTTGTTTGATCGGCAGCGACGCGGTGGTGTCGCAGATCCTGGACGAGCTGGGCCTCCAGCTCAACGACCAGCTGTCCGGCTTGCCTCAGCCTACCGGCTCACTCTCCGTTGCCAGTCAGTATATACACTTTCACTTTTATACAATTTATCAACTGTTTTTCATGGTATTTAAACGTGTCAGAGCCACGCTGCAACTATATTATGGTAGTAGCACGAATGGGTCGGCGAGGATGGGGAAGGACTACGCTCTCACAAAATACCAGGATGATAGCAGTTCAATGCTGCTGTGTTTCGTATGGTGACCGTAGAGACTCGGAGACGCTTTTTACTGGAAAAGAGGCATTCCATTTTAATCAACAGAGATGACAACTCAGAGACATTTATGCTTTTAGCACTGATTCCAAAAAAAAAAAAACTTATTTTCTGTAAAGTGTCAGTGGTACAGTCTGAAATCTAATTCGACTTACTTACGTTAAATCTGTATAATTTATTAGTAACAGTTACATGTAGGGGTGGTGTAAATATATCCACTACCCTATATTGTTCCGTGGGTGTCTTAAGAAGCGACAGAGGGAAATTGTAATAGGTGATAGGCACTAGCACCTTTCTGATAATAACTTAAAATAATTAAAAGGCAGCCCGCTTGCAACTTGGTAGTAACTATGGCAAAATCCCTACATGAGGTAATTAGTGAGGGATGCCTGTATTCAGCAGTGGACTATAGTGTAGGTAAACGGATAAGGACCTTGTTTTGTAACACTGTTTTGGTGAGGCATATCAATTTTGAAATTAAATAGTTTTTTTTTTTATAGAATAGGGGGCAAACGAGCTTGCGGCTCACCTGATGGTAAGTGACTACCGCCGCCCATGAACAACTGCAACACCAGGGGAATTGCAGATGCGTTGCCGGCCTTTTAGAAAGGTGTAAGCTCTTTTCTTGAAGGTTCCTAAGTCGTATCGGTTCGGAAAATTCGCTGGTGGTAATTGATTCCACAAAGAAGTTGTGCGAGGGAGAAAACTTCTTCTAAATCGCACAGTGGTGGACCGCCAATCATCCAGATGGTACGGATGGTAACGCGAGTTTTGTCGCGACGTGCGATGGTGAAATTGAGCGGCTGGAATTAGTCCGAACAATTCCTCAGAGCACTCCCCGTGATAGATGCGATAAAATACGCAAAGAGATGCAACATCTCTACGCAGTGCCAGTGTATCGAGCTGATCGGAAAGAACTCGGTCGTCGACGATTCGAATCGCTCTGCGCTGGATGCGGTCAAGTGGAAGGAGCTGGCACTGGGGTGCCCCGGCCCAGAGATGAGAACAGTATTCCATGTGGGGCCGAACTTGCGCTTTGTAAAGTTGCAAGCGATGTGCCGGCATGAAATACTGTCTCGCTCTGCTGAGCACGCCAAGCTTTTTAGAGGCCAATTTGGCCTTCCCTTCCAAGTGACCACGAAACTGCACGCTATTCGATATGTCGACGCCAAGGATTCCGATACTGGCTGAGGCAGCAAGGGGAGTGCCTTGAAACTGAGGAGATACGACAAAGGGGTTCTTTTTAGCGGTAAACGCGCAAACTTGTGTCTTCTCGGGATTGAACTGGACTAGATTTAGTCGGCCCCAATCCGAGACTTTGTTAAGCAAAAACTCGACTTCAGACACAAGTTTGTCCCGGTACTCGGCGACGTTTTCCCGAGAAATATTGGCACGGCCGGTATATAAGGCATCCCCAGTGCTGTCGTCTGCATAGCAATGAATGCTACCAGTTAGCAACATATCATTGATATGCAGGAGAAACAGCGTTGGTGATAGCACGCAGCCTTGTGGAACACCAGCGTTGATAGGCTTGTAATCAGAGCATGCACCGTCTACTACGACCTTGATGCTCCGATCAGCAAGGAAACTGGTGATCCATTTGCACTATTTCTCGGGAAGCCCATAGGAAGGAAGCTTCGAAAGAAGCGCCTTGTGCCAGACCCGATCGAAGGCCTTCGCTATGTCCAAACTAACGGCCAATGCCTCCCCCTTGGACACTGCCTCCGCCCATCTATGAGTTAAGTAAACTAGAAGATCACCCGCTGATCGACCCCGACGAAAACCGTACTGACGGTCACTGATCAGCTGGTGATCTTCAAGGTACCTCATGAGCTGGCAGTTTATAATGGATTCCATTATTTTGGAGAACAAGGAGGTGATAGCGATAGGCCTGTAGTTGGACGGGTCTGAGCGGTCGCCTTTTTTAGGGATCGGGTGGACCAAAGCTGTCTTCCATGAATTCGGGACTACGCCTTGGGAGTAGGAGTACCGGAAAAGACGCGTTAAAACCGGTGCCAACTCCGGAGCACACGTCTTCAGCACAATGGGAGGGACTCCATCGGGCCCACTCGACTTGCTGACATCCAGGGAGAAGAGTGCTTTGCGAACCGAGCGCTGTGTAAATCGCACATCCGGCATGGAGCACTCACATCGCGGGATGGTCGGCGGTGTGTTCCCCCCGTCATCTAGAGTCGAGTTAGACGCAAAAAGAGAGCACAACAGATCGGCTTTCTCTTTTGCGGCATGGGCCAGTGAGTCGTCCTCCCTGTGCAGAGATGGAAGGGATGGCTGACAGAAGTTCCCTTGGACAGCCTTGGCGAGAGACCAGAATGCACGGGTTCCCGAAGGAAGGCGAACTAGCTTCTCGCCAATTCTGCCGATGTGCTCAGACCTTGCCTTGGCAATGACGCTTTTGAAGGACCTGGAGGCGGAATTATACTTCTTTTTAAGTGCGCTGGTGTTTAAATCCCGAGACGTTGATGCATCAGCCCAGGCCCGGTAGCACTCCTGCTTATAGCGTGATGCTATTTTACAGGAGCGACCAAACCATGGCTGGGATCTGCCTCCGATGGGCACCACAGAGGATGGAATAAAAAGTTCCATACCCTGAAGTAGCACATCAGCAACAGAATCGGCAACAACGCTGGGATCTTCCGGCGAGAAGCAAACCCGCCCCCAAGGGTAGGATGCAAAAAAAGACCGCATCCCGTCCCAATCAGCTGACCTATAGTGCCAAACACGGCGGCAAGCTGCAGATCGCAACTGCGATTGGAAGGAAGTAATGGTGATTACTAGTTAGTTATTGGTAGGGGCAGAGGAAAGGCATTGAAGGGGCCTAAAGGGTGAGTGTATGTGTTTACCGTGTAGTGACGGCGTAAGGATAGCCATATCATTCCCTGGGTGACATTAGGGAAGCTGAAACACGAGATGGGCGTCAGTTTCTGTTTGATAACATTTCAAAAGTATTAAAAACTGCGATTGCCAGCCCGTTTGCTAAGCGTGGTATTTGTGGCAGAATCCACCCTATGGGGTAGTATGTGGGTGAGGCATATAAGTTTTTAAAGAGAATATCATAAACTATTTAGTTATTAGTAAGGTTTAGAGGTAAGGCATGAATGGTGCTAAAGAGTGGATGTTGTACAGGCAAGCACCCGTCGGCCGTGGCGGCGGGCGGCGGGGGCGTGGGCGCGGGGGCGGGCGCCGTGGCGGGGGCGGGCGGGGGAGCGGGGGCACCCGTCAGCGACGCCGACGCGGAGCTGCAAGCACGTCTCGACAATCTCCGCCGCGAGTAGCACCTCGTCTCACCTTATCCTGCCGCACCTCACCACGCCTTACCTCACCTGGACGCCGCGTACTCGCCGCCTGCTCATACCTACATAGTCTTAAACAAATGTAGACGAAACTACGTCTTAAAGTTTCCCCAGACGTCGATCAATCTTACATCTATTTTAATGGCTACACAGAAATATTCGTCTAAAAAAAGTGGAATACCTGTTCACATTGTTCCCGCGGTGTGAATGTGTGTGAGGTCTAAAAAATTATAACGATAACTCAAAATTTATTATTGTTAAAACATTGTTATTCCACTGGTCCTTCGAGCCGGATTTTTTGTTTTTTCACAACAAAACACATGTTCCATAATTTTCAATCGTATGTATCATTTTATTTTATTATTATAACATAAATTGTAATCAAAACACTGTACTTTATTAAACATAGTGGCGCTACGTTAAACACAATAAATAACACCAGCAACTTTATATAGTGCACAATAATCTATCAAATAAATTTAATACTTCAGTCACAAAAAAATATTTCATTTCATTATTTTTTACACATGATGTAGATACATTAATTTTCACGAGACGAAGGTCGAGAGGGGCCAATAGACTGTGCCTTAACACTTGCACTGTCTGATCTCAGACATAATACTAAGACGATAGCAATGAACCATATGTGGTCCACGGTAATACATTACAAGTAGTTCCAATATTCCATAGTAAGACTGAAGAGTATTATTTTTTTTATAACGATTCTTTGACTTCTATATTAACTACTAAACGAGGAATGCGGTCTTAATACGTTGGACACTAAGTTACAGTCAGTTCTCTATTTAAAAAAAAAAAAGATCTTTTAGATAAATAAATATTAATTTTGCTCGAAAATGACCTTTCTTAATTTCGACATAAGAACAAAATTTACTGTTTCGACCTAGCAATACCAGAATTTTCATTTGAATTTAACGTAACGTCACACCGTTTCTACTATCACAACAAGTCGCGTTTACATAATACAAACCTACACTGCGAACCAAATTACTATAATACATAAAAAATTATATTTGAATAACTTTTAAGTAATACTTAATAGAATTACTTTTAACTATAAACAAAATTGATTCAAATCAAATTCTAGTTTAAAATGAGTATGAACTAAAATAATCTTTGATCTTTGGAGGTTAAAATCTTTATATAACTAAATACCATAAGAAAAAGATGCAATTGGTTATAAGCAAAATTACAAATAAAATCGAGTAAATCTACTGTCATCCTAACTTCAACATTAAGTATTCAAATATCGATGCAGAAAGTATGTATTTTTGCATAACAGCGTCCAATTTTTCTTTTTAGTTTCTAAACTCTCACATTGAATCATTTATCCATCTATATACATATATGAACCTGTAATGGCATTTTAATTAAATCTAAGTGTTCTTAAAACAATATATAAAATACGTCATAAATTTAAGTATTTTGTTGAAAATTTTTAAACTTACGTGGCGCTGTATAAAGCAACGGAAATGCTGCCTATTGCTGTTGAATAAATGTTGCTGCTTCTAAAATATGTTTGTAAATAATAGAATATATTTATATTATATAACAAATTTGTTTTATTTTAAAACAATACACACATCTTGTGTTAGGTATATTCCTTTTTTAAATGACTTCAAAAAAAAAGGAGGAGGTTCTCAATTTGACTGTGTTTTTTGTGTGTTACCTCAGAATTTTTTTCTAGGTGAACTGATTTTGTTGATTCCTCTGTGGTTCCATATAAATTTGATTAAGACAAGACCAGTAGCTTTTGACTTATCCTTAATAATGCATATTTAGTTGACTTCGACTACATTGATGATCATAGAATACTATAATACGTACAAAATAGAACAGGGGAGTCGGCGGAGTCCGCGTACCCACTAACATGTCAATTCACACCTATATATGTCAACCATCTCTTTTGACGTCACAGTCCACACAGTACCTTTGTATAAACCGAAATTACAGTTGTTGCCCAATTTTTGTGTCAAGTGTTGCTGTTGCTGGGTGCAAAAAAAAATGTCAATTTGTGCGATAATTACACGAGTAAGTCACCACTATTTATATTTTGTGAATATTAGAAACAAAAATAGAGAAATATTGATATGTAAAAACAACAGTACTACGGATGTAACAAAATTTTACTGATACCGGTAAACTCGACAATATCTCCCGCTTTTAAAATTGTACTTGGTATAATAAAAAGCTAAATAGATGCGATCAAATAGGGTGAAAATAGTAATTTAATGACCTACAAATAAATGTTCATAACATTTTTTTTATTAAATTGTAATTTTGTTCCCTCTGTCGGTATGACATTGAAAATTTTCAATAAGTTTTTATATTCAATCTTCTGGTTACGTATAATTACTATATACTGTATGTTCACTTCACTCTCAATTATCCAAAATGGGTTGGGTAGACCCATTTTCTGTGTAAAGTAAAAAATTATATTTCATAATATGTATTTTCATGCTTTTTTTTCCAATTTGGCTCTTGCCTGGTTTTGGCTTACCAAGACTGTATTATTTTACAACTATTGGTACTTTTTTAGATAAGATATATTTTATTTACATAAACCATCTTTGCAGTTTTCCTGGAGAATATATATCGTCGATATTTTAAATTACGAGATATCGATGTTTATTTTAGAGTATCGAATCCGTATCAATTTGGATATACTTTAAAATGTTGTATTAATGACAAAACATGTAGCATCAAAAGTATTCCTGTGTGGTTGGTTGTCGTTTTTTTTCGTCGTCCAATCGTCAGCAATATAAAATTTTGAATTATCTGTACATCATGCAAATGAGGACGATATATCGATATTTATCTCACGATATATATCGATACTGTTTAAAAACATTGCATCGATATATTTTTCTCTTGCGCATCCCTACAGTAGATCACATACTGATACACATACCCATTTCAATAAAATAAATAAAACGAAACTGTGATTCATATTAATTTATTTAAAAAAAATACACCGCACCAGATAGTACATAGAAAATGTGTTACAAGTATAACTTCTACGCAACACCATTGAATACACACAATAGTCTAGGAGAGGGAAAATGTGCGACACTGCAATACAACTAGGTACAGATCTACAGACATAAATATCCGCGGTGCTGAGTTACACATGACTTTTTTAAGCTAAAATAGTAAAGATACAGCCTGTATGAGAGGACTCTGCGTTCGTCCCATTGCTGGAACATACACTACTCTCATTTCTGAAAGTATTTTAGGGAAGGAAGTGCCTTCGTGCTAGCGCAAAGCGTGTTGGTGGACTTCACAAGTCTGAATTATTTTTTATTTCTCAGACATGCAGGTCCGTTAAGCACGCGATAAATCAGCACTTAAAATTGCAATTAACAGTTTTATTGTGGCCGGCGGGGACCGAAAACATGCTGTTTGCGTACTGTGATATTATGGGAAGGCCTACTACGGCTGTAACTCAATTTTTTATTAAATTTTTGGAGCGAACACACGGATAGCATGATAAACACACACTTCCATTGAGGCTTAGCCTGACAATTGTGTAATTTTTTTTTATTCTAATGTAGTAGTGGTTTGATATTTGTCTTTTAAATAGGCGGAACGTGAGATATATCATACCTCTTGATTACATATTATTTATAAAAAAAAATGAGAGTGTAAGTAATACTAACGATTAATTTTACTGTGCAAATTCAATCAGTTACATAAAATTTTAAAGAATTCCGTTTTATGTGAATTTTCATATTATATATTTTTACACAGACTATCAAAGTGAAAAAATATTATATATCTAATATTCATTTTTAACGTATCACGTTAATTAAAAAAATACTACAAGTAAAATATATTGCGACCATAGAGCATAGAATACTGTGGTTGCTATTCTTAGAAAAAGCTATTCGAGCGATTCGCTACTCAATGCTTCCATAGTTTTTATTGTGCCCAAGTAAATACACGTGGTGAATTTGGATATGTTCGTTTGTTTGCACTGTACTACATTAGCAACTCTACTGTTCACGTAACTACAAGTACCATATACCGCATCTATACTATTCACAGTGGCCATTGTAGATATATATTATGCTTAGCATATATACACACTATAAAATATATATATTTAAACAGTGCATTAGCAAGTCACATTTATCACAGAAGTTGGGGTCCAAGACAGAAAAACATAGTAACAAACAAATGAAACTGAATAACTGTACTTACAATACAATACAATACATTACAATTATTCTCTGTTGCTCAGAGTAACGTACAAAATATTATATAACTAGTTAACTAGCGACCCGCCCCGGCTTCGCCTAAAGTTGAATCTTTTAAAATTTTTACGTCTTTTCATATTTTAATCATTCCATTTTTGTACTTACATGTAAAAGGACGTGCTATTCATGATATAATATATTTTCGTACACAGTTCGTATTATTTGAATCTCTAAATATATGTAAAACAAACAGTCATTTATCTTTTCTAAAATAATCATCAATAACTTTTTTATGACACTAACAAAAAAATTTATAAATGGTTTACCGACAAACAGTTCAATTTTACTTATATGTATAGATGTATAGATAATATATGAATAAACTTTATTTACATTATTTTTTGGAAGAGTTACAATGTATAAGGTTTTGTATTAATTATAACAACATTTACTAATAAAAATAATACTTTTTTCTATCAGTATTAACATCAAGCACTCAAAATTTAATTTCATATAATTTACTAGTACATTTTATGCCACAACGACGAGTACAACTAATCTAAAACCGATCTACTTCAAGTTAAACTTGGCCAATTAGTGTGGAGTGCCGTCAACCATTAATAACAAATAGATTATTTCTAACAAAGACTTTATGTATATTGTATACTGCTCGACCGGCAATTCAGAACAAAATTAGAACCGTGTCACAGCTGTGGATCACTGGAACGGTAAATATGCCGCGCAGTTGTATATTTTCATTTACGA